TCATGACCTGAGCCGAAGGCAGCCGCTTAACTGACTGAGCCACCCAGGCGCCCCCGGGAGTAGATTTCTTAATGTCTTTGCCAGATTGAGCTGATGGGGCTTGAATGTTGGAGGTGAGGGGGACAGCAGTCAGAGTGATGGTGGGGCTGTGTAAGGTGCTGGGGACAATCGGGAGGAAAGCAGCCAGATAAATAAAGGGTGGGAAGGGGAAGTTCAGGGAGTTGGAGAGTCATGGGCATGGAGGTATGTCTGGTCCTATCTAGTCTGAAGGTCAGAAAAGCCCTCTCTGGAGAAATTGACATTAGACCTGACATGAGAGCTTTGAGGGAGGAGTAAAAATTTGCTTGGTTGAAGCATGTTTAGGTAGAAGAATCAGCATGTACAAAGGTCCTGAGGCAGGGAAGAGTTGCTGGGAATGAAGATATGGAAGAAGGTAAATGAGACACAGAAAAGAAGTGGAAAATTGGAATGCGATCAAGTCAGAGCCTTCATACAGGGCCTTGTGGGCTAAGATACGCCTTTTGGTCTTTACCACCTGGGGAGCCATGGAAAGTATGTGAGCAGGGCAGCTGACCGCGACAAGATCCAGTTTATAATTTATGAAGCTCATTCTGAGTATGAGTGGAAGGAGACTGCAGTGGGGCAGGAGGGGAGGCAGAGTTGAGAAAGGAGGCTTGGGGCCACTGTCCCCAGACAGTGGGGGACAAGGCTCAGTCCCTAAGGCCCACCCTACTCCCTGCAGGCCCTGTGTACCAAGGTGCCCGAGCTGATCAAGACCATTATGGGCTGGACACTGGACTTCCTTCGAGAGCGGCTGCTGGGCTGGATCCAGGACCAGGGTGGTTGGGTGAGGCCCCTAACCCCTCCCCCACTCCTCCGAGACCCCTGGGTTTTCCCGAGCCCACCAGTGTTGCCCTCTCTGACTCTGGATCATCAAATGGGGTCTGTAATGCATTTCCTCACATGTCTGATCAACTCCTAATTTGTCTGCTATCCTCTGACCTGTTGGTGACCCCTGACCTCCTGGTGACCTCTGACCTCTCAGTGACCTCTGACCTAACTAGTACCTTCTGTCCTTCCTGGTGCCTCCATTTCCTCTGGAGTCCCTCAAGTTTTTTGATAACCCTTTGACGCCAGCTGTTTGATATCCATTCATCTTAGGCTCTTGCCCCCACTCATGCCCTATGACCACCTCACTCCCTGATTTCCTCCTGTGCTGGCCCAAGGGCTGCCCCTTGGCCCAGCTGCTGAAGTGACTGATGTCCCTGTCCACAGGACGGCCTGCTCTCATACTTTGGGACACCCACGTGGCAGACAGTGACCATCTTCGTGGCTGGAGTGCTCACTGCATCACTCACCATCTGGAAAAAGATGGGCTGAGGCCACCAGCTGCCTTGGACTGTGTCTTTTCTGCATAAATTATGGCATTTTTCCGGGAGGGGTGGGGATTGGGGGTCATGGGCATTTTTCTTACTTTTGTAATTATTGGGGCGGGGGGGCATGGGGAGGAGTGGTCTAGGGGGGCAATAAACCTCTTTCAGGCCACACTTCAGAGTCTGAATCACTGGGAGCCCACTCCTTGGCTGTCACAGGAGACCAGGCTTCAGGTGCTGACAAATCTTTTTCGAAGGAGCCTAGTGCCCTCTGGGTTAGTGAGGAGTTAGGTCTCCACTCTGCCCTCCAGGAGCATGCAGTCCTGAGGGAACTGAAGATCACTGTGTGGAAGCCTACGGTCTTGTGTTGGAGGCAGCACTGGGCAAGGCCAAGCCAAGCAGTGGAGCCTGGAAAGAGAACAGTGCAGCAGGCCCTGGAGAGCTAGGGCTTGGAAGCTTCCACCACATGGGACCAGAGGAAGTTGCACTTACTGAGGTGGAGAATGGGGGCAGGGGGGGAGGGGAGAGATGGGAGGCCTTGGGAGGACTTACTGGACCACGAGAGGGCTCTAGAGCCCTGTGGAGAAGCTACTGGAGGTCAGAAGGCTGGAATCGGGGGTTCTGAGAGAGAGGACAAGGCCTGAGCCAGTGCTGTGTGGCCTGAGGGGACAGGGCTGGACACCTGTTGGCGTGGGGAGGGGCTGGCCCAGTAACTGGGTGGGACCCTCCAGGAAAGCAGGCCCTAGTGAGGATGCTGGAAAGCTGCCTTGTAGATTGGACACAGAAAAGGAAATAGAGATTAAGATCACTTGGTCATAGGGTCTGTTGTACCTTCTCTCTGGGTCTCTTCCCCCCCCGCCCAGGTCTTTCTGTCCTCTGTCTCTCTGGACCTCTTGTTTTCCCCCATCCCATGATCTACCCCTCACCCCCAAGATCTCAGTCCTTTTCAGATCATTTTTGTCTCCCCACTTCCTCTCCCTCTACCAGTGAGCACTTCTGAAGAAGCCACCTCTCTGCCAGCGGGGCCTACTGGAGGCTAAAGGTCTTTAGGCTGAGGTATGAAATTTGGTGAATGAGTAACTCAGGCCCCATTGTGACTGTGTGCCTGGGGCAACTGCCCCTCCCCCAGAGACTCTCCCCGGAGACACCAAGTAGGGGGAGAGTTGACAGATAAGACAGCAGTGAGGGGAGACTGAGTCAACTGCCCAGAGAGGGGCCAGTATGACCACAGGCAGGAGACCAGGGAAAACATCAAGGCAACTAAAAAGACTGTAAGACTCGGAGACAAAGCACACTCGCATCTTGGGGGAGTGGGCCAGACCTGGTTCCTAGCCAGGCCTAGTTCTCATGGTCCCAGCCAGTTTGCAGTCTGCCATGGACACGAGGTCAGTCAGTGGCCCCACCCCGCCTCTGCCTGAGACCCTTCCTGCTGAGTTCAGCATGACTCAGCACAGCTGCTCCCCTGGCCACGGGCCCAGGTGCCCCTTAAGGACCCCAGATACCAGCCTGGTCCAGCAACCTCTGGGTCAGGAGACACCCCCCTGCCTGGGCTGTTTGGAGTGTCCCCCCTGTAAAGCAGGCCTCAGTGGCTTCAGCTCCCCTGCCCAACCCACTGGCTACCCTCATTAGGGCACTGAAAATAGGGTCAAGTTCCTGTCTTTCTCTCCTTTTCCCCCCTCTAGGACGGGGAGTTCCTTGAGGGCAGAGTCCTGGTTTGAGCCAGCTCTGCTTCCCAGACACCAGCCTGCAACTGACAGACTTAAAAAATGTACATTGGTTAAAGACACATCCCATCCACAGGTCTGCAGACCCTCCTTGTTTCCCCAGAACCCAGGGCTTCTCTTTGGGAGCTTCAAGAAGCATGTGTTAAGCAAGACAGGGACTACTTCAGAGCCAAAGAGAATTCCAAGTCTCTGGCTGCCCTCAGAATAGTCTCCAGGAAAAGCAGCCTGAGAGACCCTAAAGCTTGAGTGTCATTTCAGCCTTACCTTACGCATGTCAGCTTCCAGAAAAACAGGCCCCTGAAATAGCCCCAAGGTATTCCAAATGGCCCAATCTTTCAAAGGCTCCACAGACCTCCTACCTCTTAGAAAATCCCTTACAAGGCTTCCAGAAATATCCCAGTCCCCTATGGGGGGTGGTGCAGGAGGACCCCCAAGGCTCTAGAACTGTCCTTTTAATCTTGAAGATCACTTCATGAGTATTAAGACACACACACCACCACCACTCCTCTCCCAGGGGAAGATTCCAGAAAATAAGGACTTCCAACCTGAGCTCTAGTGCTACAGAAATTCCCAATCCTTGAGTGAACCCCAGGGCTCCAGGTCCCCCCTTTCAATCCATCTATCAGAGAGATCCCCAAGATTCCAGAAATATCTCACCGCACCGCCTTCCAAACTTCTTAATGATCCGGGGACCCTTTATCTTCCAGAGCAAACCCCAGTTATCTGGAGGTCTCCGCACCTCTGAGAAACCTCCAGGGCGCCAGAAAGGTCCATGCTCTAAGAGACAACCCCAGAATCCAACCTACTTTCCTGAGACAACCCCAAGACTCCAGAGTTATAATTTTCCAGGGCTCCCAGTGTCCCCATCAACCTTCCACCTACCAGGGAAACCCCCACAAACCCGACGTCCCAGAATCAGCCCCAGGACCCTTACACCCCGCAACCCACCCCCCACCTCCGCTTCCCCATTTCACAACAGCCTCGCGCTACTGGCGCGTGACTTCCCCACTTCTGGGCGGGGGTCTGGGACTCCTATCAGCTCGGATTGGTCAATAGCTGGTCCTAAGCCCCGCCTTCCAGCACCGCGGATTGGCCGATCGCTCTCCCTGAACGGCCCACCACCGAGGGCCCGCGCGCTATAAAAGAAGCCGCCTTGGCCACGGTTTCTAGCGGTGCGCCCGGCGGTCCTGCGGCTCTGTCTCTTGCTTCAACAGTGTTTGGACGGAACAGACCCAGGGACGCCCCTCCAACCAGCCAACGACCACCCTCCAACCTCTTTTCCAGTCGCAACCTTGGGAGCCATCTTCTTGGCCACCTGCTGCCTCCGGGACCAGCCAACAGCCAATTTCGAGCTTACCTTACCACCAATCAACCATGAGCTCCCAGATTCGTCAGAATTATTCCACCGAGGTGGAGGCCGCCGTCAACCGCCTGGTCAACATGCATCTGCGGGCCTCCTACACCTACCTCTCTCTGGTGAGGGTCCCCAGGACGCCCCCAGCCTAAGTTGCCCCCAAGTGCGCACCTCCGGCTCTCTGCGCACGCGCTGGCCGCCTTTGTCCCGTAGGGTAGTCGGAGGGCGGAGTCCGGGCTCCTGGGCGGCCTTTCTTCCCGCTAACCATTTTTCGCGCTTCCCATCCCGCAGGGCTTCTATTTCGACCGTGACGATGTGGCTCTGGAAGGCGTGCGCCACTTCTTCCGCGAGTTGGCTGAGGAGAAGCGCGAGGGCGCCGAGCGTCTCTTGAAGATGCAAAACCAGCGTGGCGGCCGCGCCCTCTTCCAGGACGTCCAGGTAGGTAGTGTGCGGGCGGCGGACTACAGGTCCCGGTAGTCCGTGCGCGCGCCCAGCGCCTTGACCGTAGCGGTGTAGGCCCCGCGTGGGCTTCTGGACGATTGTGTTCACTCTTGTGCGGCGCAAAATGGAGGCGCGCGCACTTTCCCGAAGACGTAGCTGTCCACACCGCAACGGGGTCTCCTGGGATGGGTGGTTGTAGGAGCCTGGGCGTGATGGAGGCAAGCCCTTGGACGCTTTTGCGGTCTATTTAGCTAGTCCTGAGCCCTCTGTCCTCTGTACAGAAGCCGTCCCAAGATGAGTGGGGGAAAACCCTGGACGCCATGGAAGCTGCCCTGGTTCTGGAGAAGAGCCTGAACCAGGCCCTTTTGGATCTGCATGCCCTGGGTTCTGCCCGCGCAGACCCCCATGTAAGTACTCCTTTCATCCACATTTAATTGGGCAAATTTCCCTTTGAGCCTCGTTTCCCCATCTGTCACACTGTGGATGCATAAGTGGCCAACGTTTTCTCCTCTTCTGTCACTCAGCTCTGTGACTTCCTGGAGAACCACTTCCTAGATGAGGAGGTGAAACTCATCAAGAAGATGGGCGACCACCTGACTAACCTCCGCAGGCTGGCCGGCCCCCAGGCTGGACTGGGCGAGTATCTCTTCGAGAGGCTCACTCTCAAGCACGACTAGGTGGAGACCAGCAGCCTTTGAGGGGGCCCCTCTGACAGCCCCCTGGTGCCAGAGTTTGTGCCTCAGCCTCTCCCTGCAGCCACGAGACAGCTTTTTAACCACCCTGGAGCCCTCTCCCAAGCCTTGGACCAAGTGGAAACAATAAAGCTTTTTGCAGCAGCTGGTGGTTTGGCGTGTGTTTTTGTTGTACTTGCGTGTATGGTGTGGGAAATGAGGTGGTATCTATTTTCAGAAGGCCTATAGTTGGACTGCCCTGGCAGGGAGCCGGGTGTTGGCCCCGCGTCCCATCTTTGCTGTTACTCTAAGCTCTAATCTTAACCTGGGGGTGGGGGTGGGGGGGCGTGGTGGAGTAGCAGCTTCTCTGCTTGGCTGGGCTGTTAACTGTCCTTCCTACAGTGCAGAGCCTAGACTCCAAGGAGAGTCTAGGAAGACCTAGGCTTGGTAGCTGGAAGCAGACACTGTTAGAAAGAACAAAGTGTAACCAGAAACGGGATCTGATGAGTAACAGTTGTCAAGCAACAGGAGCACATGATATGCAAGAGGTGCTGAGCTAGGGGTTCGGAGCACAGCACAGAAACGGGATGTGAAACTCGGGGATTAAGTTCTCCCAAGTGGGAATCGAAGGCTTAGCAGGCAGCTGCTGGGTCCAAGCTACGAAACTGAACTCCAACCCCCTGCCCCTTCTCTGGTTTTGGTCGAAGAATCTAGAGGAAGTGGCTCCTGGACACTTGTTTTTTCGGACACTCAGCACCTGATGTTGTCACCACACTTCGCTGGCCACTCATGATTCTGGCAGGGGAGGGGGCTTCTGTGTGTCCATCACCAACACAGTTAATAGGAAGGATGGTCACACATGCAAATCCAGTTTTCTACTCCCCTGAGACGTGATTGGCTCAGAGGTGCACTCCTAGTGAAGACTAGAACTGAAAACAGATTTTTCCCGGAAAACAGAGCCATTCAGGGGACAGTAGGGCTAAAGTCCAGAGGCCACTGTCCTTGAAACATGTTCTAAGCTAGTGCTGTCCAATAGAATTTTTTGCAATGATGAAAATATTCTGGGGGCGCCTGAGCGGCTTAGTTGGTTAAGCATCTGCCCACGGCTCAGGTCATGACCCCGGGGTCCTGGGACCAAGCCTCATGTCGGGCTCCCTGCAGTGGGGAGTCTGCTGCTCCCTCTGTCCCTCCCCCCGCTCATGCCCTCTCTTTCTCTCAAATAAATCTTTAAAAAATAAAATATTCTGTATTTGCGCTGTTCAGTTGTGTAGTTATGAGCCTTATGTGGCCACAGTGACTACCGGGCAGTTGCATGTGGCTAGTGCTACTGAAGAATCTGGTTCATTTAAATAGCCACACAGGGCTTGTGGCTACCCGTGGGTCTTTTTTTTTTCTAGTGACACAGCCCCTTTGAGCCAAATTTTTGCCCGCCTGCAAGTCCCAATGAAACAGGTGCCTTCCCTTGAAATAAAACTAGAATCTAGAATGGCAATCCAAGTCTCTCCAAGACAGCCGAATGAGACAAGGTATTAGGGACTCGGGTGGGCAGGCGGTAGGGGGTGGGGGTGGGGGGCGCAGAGAATAAAGGAGGTAAAGAGGTAGAGAAGCCAAGAGGAGGGAGGGGCTGGGAGCGAGGCCCAGCAAGCCCTCACAGTGGACCAAACCTGAGATTCTTAAATATAGATGTATTTTTTCATCTCTGGACACACATCAATCACACCCCGTTCTGCCCTCCCCGTCCCAACTGCAAACCAAGTGCATCAGACACAGCACAGCACACATGAAGGGCCCCTCCCTTTCACCAAAGCTGGGGGCAGGGCACAGCTTAAGGATGGAAGAGGCTGGAGGTAAATATGAAAGTTCTAGAACCTAGGGGGTTCAGTTCTAGACCAGGGGAAAGGGACCAGGAAGCAGCACAGTGGTAAGGTTCTAGATTCGGCAGCCGGGACCTAGAACCCAGTGGTTTCGTGGTGGGCCTAGGGCTTGGGGCTTGTGGCAGGGGTAGACAGCCAGTTCTGTCCTCAGCAGGGGGATTCCCTGGAGGGGACAGGAATCCCAAGATAGGGAGGAGAGCTCAGACTCAGGGAAGAGGAGAAAGGTCTGGTTCAGAAAAGGCCAGAGAGGCATCTAGACAAAGACTGCATATTCTCCAAAAGGAATGAGAAGCCAAGTGGTTCTGCACCACCATCACCCCATTGGCCAAAGTACGGAGAAAGAGGAGAGCAGGGATGGAGGGGCCCTCCAGGCAGAGCCAGACACACCAGGAAGAGCCACATCAGAGTAAACAGGGGAGTGCCCTGGTCTGGAGCCTGAGTTCTGGAGTTGAAATGGAGGACCTTCTGCATTCAGTTAAGTCCCTGAAAGTGCCCAGCTTTGGACTTGATTGTCTCATTAGCAGGGAAACCACATGGTTTCCAGGGCTTGCTGGCCCTTGGGCCAGGCCTGAGCGTGGATTGGTCTGTGGGCTATAAAATTAGCAAGCCACAAAGGGCTCTAGGAGCCCCTGCCTGGAAGGCAACAGACCAGGCTTCCTAAAACCTCTGGCACCATGGCAGGGAAATGGCAGGTTCCTGGCCCCTGGTGTCTGGGCCAGGCCTGAAGGACTCCAGGGCGCAGATTATGCATTCTGGAACCCAGGAAAGGCACGGCGTTGTGGATTTTGGAGTGTTGGGGATTCCGAGAGGGGAGCTAGAGGGGCTGGAGTGTATGGCGGAGGGGGCGGGGCTGTGGACCCCAGGAGGGTTCGGGATCTGGAGTGGGGTTTCGGAACGGCGCCTTTCTGCATCCACCCTCTGGACGAGGGCGGCAGGATGGGCTGGCAGTGTGGGGCACCGGACTTAGTTGCGCTCCTCGCCCAGGGAGCTGGCAGGGCTGAGCGGCTCGCTGGGAGTGCTGAGCGAGCTGGAGGGCGCCGTGTCCACCGAGCTGCGCTTGCTCCCGCCGGTGGAAGAGGCGCAGGAGGCGCGGCGCGGCCACTCGGGGGCGCGGATGTTGCGCCGGTCCTTGGCTGCCTCCTCGTCCTCGTCGTAGCGCTCCCCGTCTATGTCAGGCGGCCCGTCCCGGGGTTCCTCCTCATCCTCACTCTGGTGCGGGCTTGAGTGTCGTGACAGCGAGGGCGACGGTGGCACTGAGGCCGGCCGTGGGTAGCGGTAGCCCTGGGTCTGCGTTACGGGGAGGGGGGGGCGGCACAAACCGCAGAGTGAGCAGAGGCCTCCTACGGTTCCTCCCCTCCCCCGGACCTTCCCACTCCAGGAGGGACGCGCCCCTACCCCAGCCCTCTAGCTCCGGGCGCATCAGAGAGATCGGGGTCCACTCACCGCGTCAGCCTCGTGGGGCTCATAGGTGAAGTGCTCTGGAAAGGCTTTGGCCAGCGCCATGTGGCGTGCAGACATGTAGTACTTGGGGAAAAGAAAGGGAGGGGGCGTCAGGGAACGCGAGCCAGACCCCGCCCCCGGCAGAGCTAGAAGGGGGCGGACCCTAGCCACACTCTATGCAAATGAGCACACTCCGGCACCTTGCAGATGGCCCCTACGCCAATTATCCATCTTTCTGGCTCCACTCCTTAAGTAGATAAGCAGAGCTGTGAACGGACTGTCTCAGAGCCACACCTCATTAACAGGGGCAGAATTCTTAAGTTGGTTATCTCTTTCGCCATACACTTATACGAGGAAGGTAATTGTCACCAACGTGGTCTATCTGCAAAAGCTGAATAATTTCTTTTTTTTTTTTTTTAAAGATTCTATTTATTTATTTGAGAGAGAGAATGAGATAGAGAGAGAGAGCATGAGGGGGGAGGGTCAGAGGGAGAAGCAGACTCCCTGCTGACAGCAGGGAGCCCGAGGCGGGACGCGATCCCGGGACTCCAGGATCATGACCTGAGCCGAAGGCAGTCGCTTAACCAACTGAGCCACCCAGGCGCCCCAAAGCTGGTTAATTTCTTAAAGGGACAGCGACTGTTACAGGTGGAAGGAGGCTGCGTCCCGCGGCAGCCTTGGAGGCTGAGGAATGAGAGACCCAGAGCCGGAAGCGGCCGATTCACCTGCAGAGGACGTGGGAGGGAGTCATACCCGGCCTAGGTATTTCCAGTCCAGAAGGTCTGAGAGGCGCTCCGTGCGGTTTCGCTGGATGATGCGCTGCCGCCGGCTCTGCTGGCAGAAGCTGTAGAGGAAGGAGGTGAGCTGCGAGCAGGAATCATCCAGACTGCGGAACCGCCGGTCCAGAATGTAGATGCCTGTGGGGGCCAGGACGGGGGCTTAGAAATCAGACCAAGGAAACCTTCATTCTTCCAGGGACTCTCTGGAGCCAGGACTCCTCCTCCCCCCAGGACCCAGGAGGCCACCCCTTCCTCCCCCTGGATCCAGGAGTCTCGGCTCTCAGTCTGGGCACCGACCGTAAGCTGAGGGGTCTGCAATGTGTTCCTCCATGAAGCAGCCGAAGCCGGAGAGGTTGGTGGAGATACTGGGGATGCCCATAACCGTGCACTCAGCTGCAGGAAGGCATGAGGAGGAAGGTCCACTTAGCTTTCCCCTTTGCGGCCTCTTAAATCGCAATAAAAGCCCCAACAGCGCCCTCTACTGACACCTTAAGCAAATCACTGAGCCCAAAGGCAGCACATTAGACTATCGGTCCGTTTCTTCCTTTTTTTTTTTTTTTTTTTAAATGTTCTGTTTGTTTGTTTTTAAGACTTGTTATCTTTTTTTAAGATTTTATTTATTTAGGGGCACCTGGGTGGCTCAGTCGTTAGGCGTCTGCCTTCGGTTCGGGTCATGGCCCCGGGGTCCTGGGATCGAACCCCGCATCGGGCTCCCTGCTCAGCGGTCTGTGTCTCTCTCTCTGAGAGAGAGACAGCGAGAGCGGGAACACAAGCAGGGGGGGGTGGGAGAGGGAGAAGCAGGCTCCCCGCTGAGCAGGGAGCCCGATGTGGGGCTCGATCCCAGAAGCCCGGGATCAAGACCCGAGCGGAAGGCAGACGCTTAAAGACTGAGCCGCCCAGGCACCCCTAAGATTTTTTATTTATTTATTTGAGAGAGAGAATGAGCAGGGAGAGCAGCAGAGAGAGAGGGAGAAGCAGGCCCCCCACTGAGCAAGGAGCCGGATGGAGGGCTCCATCCTAGGACCCTGGGACCCTGGGGCCATGAGCCAAGCCAAAGGCAGATGCTTAACCGACTTAGCCACCCAGCTGCC